AAGAGAACAGTGTATTTTCTTCCGTGGAAAAACCTCTCAGGATTTGTTTCTTGGATTTACTAGCATCTCTTAAAATTTAATTTGGCCACAAACTATTCTTTCAGACTTTATATACTGCTCTTGTTTTTATCTTGGATCTAACTTTATCCTTAGAATAGTTTTAACTTGAGCCCTCAGAGGGTTTTTATTGCATTGGCTATACATGAATAGCACAAAAGATATATGTTTGAGCAATTAAGTGCATTTTTAATACTTGCCTCGCTGCATCTTGTAAATAGAATAAAGGAAGACAAAGTCGATTTTGGCTCTCAGCATTTAAGCACCAGTGGTTTGCTTCATTGAATCCAGTCAGAAGAGTAAAGGAAGACAAAAACCTAGTTTTCCAAAATATCTCCTCATAGAGCTGTAAGGGCTCCAGGGTGCTATTACATTGTCTGACAGCAGCAAAACTCTTACATAACTACAAGGATTTCTCACTCAAATATATAGCACTATGGCACATAAATTATTCTGTGATTTCCCAAAAGACCCCAAAGATTCTCCGCTGCTCTTGTAAATTCAAATGCAGCCAATAAATAATTAATAACAAGGTTTCTTAAATGGTTCAGAGAATTGCCCAAATGATCTTAAAGTCAATAAATTATGAATTTTCCTCTGAGTGAGCTATATGCAGTAAAGTATCATATATAATCAACCCCTCCTCAAAAAAGCCTCCAACTGTGACGACTGGCATGAGGTGTGGGAGTTGGTGTTTACAATGCGTTTCCATGCTTATTATGCACCCAGAATAATCAGTGTAAATCTCAGACTGAGCACTTTTAATAGAAAGCCAAGTGAAGCTGTATTATGCCCTTGTGATGGGCAGGGATGATATGCACTTGCTAACTCAGACTGCTAATGAGGTCCACTGGGCATGTTTTGATCATATACCAAACAAGACCTGGTTATAAAAAATCTGCTAATCCTTTTCATTCCTTTTAGAGAGAAAAAACACTCATGACTCGAATCCACTCTGATAAAATGCAGTGCATGTGAGAGATAGCACAGACAGAGCTAGCGCTCATTTTAAATCTTTCAATTCTAACAATGGAAAATGTGATTGTGTTTTCTTTTCTGTATATATTACGAGTCATTCACTGTGTCCTCTGGATTCTTCTTGCCAAAAGTTGAATCACAGTGTAAAGGGCAGTGAAAAAACATCAATGGAAATCGATCATGCTTCTGTTTATCCTTGCTCTACAGGCCATACATAGCATCATAACACTGCTAAGCAGACAGTTGAGCAGTATTCACATTTACAGCAAGTTTCCTTTGCAAGAAAAGAGCAAATCAGCATCGCAGATGAGAAGATGATGGGAAGGCACATGTTTTGCCAGTCTCTCTTTACCTTTTTTCTTTCTCTTTTTCTTTTTGTTTTTGCCCTCTGACCTGTCTCCACTGCATCAAACACAATTGATTTCCTCTGTCCTTCTCAGCTCTACTTGTGTGCTTAGAGAGGCAGGGTCATGGGCTGCTGTCTTGTCAAGGTTGAGTCTTTTCTGGGTAGCGACAATCTGGCTGCTGGTACCCGAAGGAGAACCTCATCACCGAGAACAATTCCCCCAAATGTTTGCCAACATGTGCGCCTGACTGCATGCGTACCTGTGTTGTTTCCTGAGACGCGTTCACGCCCACCGTCTTCTCTCACTGTCTTCCACTTTAAAGAAGCTGCTCTTGACTCTGAGTCACTTTCATAAATTAACCATATTCCTGCTCTGCTTCCACAGGCTGCGGCAGAGAGCATCTATAGGGAAAAGTGTCTCTTTCATACACCACTTCCAAGTTCTCTCCCACGCTGGAAATAGTAACTCTGCTTTGCACACATGTTGCCGCAAAGCTCCCGATTTCTTCAAATAGGATTTGTGAGTGTGCATTGTGTTTGTGCGCGTTTGCATGTGAGATTGTCAACATGTACGCATGTTGAAAGCATTTGTTTCATGTGAATAATCTCAGGAAGCAAAGGTGATGCAACAGCATAGGATCATGATGCAAGGTATACGTTGGCATATGTGTGTGGGTGTGTGTGTGGGTGTGTGACGGTATTCGGGCAAAGGACTGCCACCTGCATGTAAACGCAGACTTTTGACGAGTGAGTAAATAACAAAAATTCACTTTGACAGCCACATTTGACTAATGAACAGAGTGATGAACACCATTTGTGTGTGTGTGTGAGTGTGTGTGTGTGTGTGTGTGTGTGTGTGTGTGTGTGTGTGTGTGTATGTGTGTGTGTCTATCATACTTTCTTATTAGGTGGAGTTTACCTCAAGGCTCTCCCAGGGCCTTAAGTCAAGCTCGCTGAATCTATCACTGCCTAATGAGCACCACACAAACAGCCACGTGCCGACTGTTAAGTGCCAATGTGTGTGTGTGTGTGTGTGTGTGAGAGAAATGCGTGGGAGTTAGTAGTGAAGGTGTTTGCAAAAGGAGGGAGGAAGTGTGAGAATCTAGTGGGGCACACACA